CGACACCGGAGCAACGTCACACATAATAACGAACATCGACAAGTTTAAAAGGTTCGATGAGACTTTTCAACCGAAAGACCACTTTGTTGAATTGGCTGACGGGACAAGAACAAGTGGTGTCGCTTTGAAGAAAGGAAAGGCGGAGGTCTGCCTGCAAGACACGGAGGGACGACGAGTGACAGCGATGCTGAAGGACGCGCTCTATATACCGTCCTATCCACAAGACATTTTCTCTGTTAAAGCAGCGACAGCCTACGGAGCATCAGTGAACTTTCGTCAGGGTTGTAACCAGCTGATTCACCAGAGAGGTAAAATATTTGACATCAAGGAATATGATAGACTTTATTTTGTAAACACTGTGGACTGTGAAGCTGAGGACGATGCATGTTATGGATGTTATGACATTCAAACATGGGATGAAATACTTGGTCACTGTAACTATGATGATGTGTCACAACTGGAAAAACTCACTGAGGGGATGAAAATTAAGGGTGGGATTGATGCATCTAACCTTAACTGTGAAGTGTGTACTCGAGGTAAATTTGCTCAGAGTAGGAACAGACAACCAGATGCAAGAGCTAAAGCAGCGCTCAATCTTGTGCACACTGATTTAGCAGGTCCCATTGAGCCAGAGGCTAAGGAGGGATTCAGATACACATTGGCTTTTACAGATGACTTTTCAGGGGCAGTATTTGTGTATTTCCTAAAAGCTAAAAGTGATACTTTCAAAGCCACAGAAAAATTCATTGCTGATGTCGCACCTTATGGTAAAATCAAATGTATAAGGTCTGATAACGGTACAGAATTCACCGGGACAAACTTTCAATCGCTCCTTAGACAACATGCAATACGACATGAAACTTCAGCACCTTACTCACCCCATCAAAATGGGACAGCTGAGAGAAACTGGAGAACACTTTTTGAAATGGCAAGATGCATGCTTCTTGAGAGCAATTTACCAAAGAAGCTATGGACATATGCCGTCATGACTGCAGCTGTAATACGTAACAGATGTTACAACAGACGTGTAGGACAGACACCTTATTATATGCTGACAGGACGTAAGCCGAACCTCTCGAAAATGAATATATTTGGATCTGTATGCTATGCATACAAGCAGGAAAAGAAAAAGTTAGACTCGAGGTGTGAGAAGGGGATTTTTGTAGGGTATGATAAAAACAGCCCAGCATACCTAGTCTACAACCCAGACACTGGTAGTGTTCGAAAACACAGGCAAGTGAAGTTTGTCACAAAAAGTATAGTCGAGCGACATACACAGACTGATTTTGAGGCAAGTGATGATGATTTTTATGAGAAAAGGTTTGTATCCACCAAGCCAGAAACCCAGGGGACTGACTCGTGTCCAAAAGAGACACAGGAGGCTCGAACTGAGACAGATGACACAAACACTCAGACAGGAAAGGGAGCAGAAGGTCAAAATAGAAGCTATCCCCAAAGAGAAAGGAGGAGACCTCAGTATTTACAGGACTATGAATGTAAAGTACAGTGTGACGACCAAAAGTATGTAAATATTGACTACTGCTACAGAGTAATGTGTAATGTACCAAACACCTTTAAAGAGGCCATGAATTCAGCAGAGTCAAAACTCTGGACTGATGCTATGCAGGAGGAAATGAATTATCTTAAGGAAAATGACACATTCACATTGACCACACTACCAGAGGGCAAAAATGCAGTGGGGGGTAGATGGGTCTATACAATCAAAGAAAACACAGAAAAGATATGTTGCCAAGGGATATAGTCAAGTGGCAGGAATAGACTATAAGGAGACATTTTCCCCGACTGCAAACATGACATCAGTACGAAGTTTGATGCAATTGGCAGCTCAACATGACTTACACCTACATCAGATGGATGTTAAAACTGCATATTTACACGCTCCAATTGATTGTGAGCTCTATGTACAGCAACCTGAAGGTTTTGAGGTCAAGTCAGACACAGATGAAAAGCTAGTCTGCAAGCTGAATAAATCACTGTATGGGTTAAAACAATCTGGAAGAAACTGGAATAAAATGTTGCATGATCATCTCTGTGAGAACGGTTTTGCACAAAACCCAGCTGATCACTGTGTCTACAGTAAAGGAATAGAAAATGAGAGGATCATTCTGATTATTTGGGTGGATGACTTAGTTATCGCAGCTAATGATATTCACACAATTAATACTGTGAAAGAAATGTTGAGCACAAAATTCAAAATGAAGGATCTTGGGAAACTTAAACATTTCCTAGGCATTGACTTTACTCAGGAAAAAGGAGAAATAAAGATGGGTCAAAAGAAATTCATTACAAAAATACTGGAAAAGTTTGGTATGAATGACTGTAAGCCAAGGTCCACCCCGTGTGAACAGAAACACAACTTTGATGATGATGGTGAAGCTGTTGATGCAACACAATATCGTGAAGTGGTAGGCAGCTTAATATATGTAATGACATCTACACGGCCTGATCTAAGTTGGATAGTCAGTAAACTGTCACAGTATTTTTCAGAGCCAAAAGAACAACACTGGTTAACTGCTAAACATGTATTGAGGTACTTAAAGGGCACAATTAATCAGGAGCTATGTTTTAAACAAGATGAAAAACTGAAACTTGTTGCATACTGTGATGCGGATTGGGCAACAGACCAAAATGACAGACGGAGTATAACAGGGTACTGTTTTAGTCTAACTAGCAATGGGCCTGTTATTTCTTGGAGATCAAAGAAACAGCAAACAGTAGCTTTGTCGACATGTGAGGCAGAGTACATGGCACTGGCTGCCACAGCACAAGAGAGTGTGTATCTTGTGCAGCTAATAGAGAGCATGGATAGTGAGGGTCAATATACTCCTGTAAAAATCTTTGAAGATAACCAGGGTGCAATTGCTCTATCCAAGAACCCAGAATGTCGTCAACGATGTAAACATGTGGATGTCAAGTATCATTTTGTTCGAACTGTACTGAGTGATAACATGATAACCATTGACTATTGCCCTACAGCTGATATGGTTGCTGATATTTTCACTAAGCCTGCAACAAAGGTAAAAAGTGAGACATTTGTAAAGTATTTGTTTGGAATGTAAATAACCCCAGAAGTTTCAAACACTGAGTTATTGTGCAGGTGTATAAGGTGTTTACATTTGAATTCATGTTGAGAAATTGTGCAGTATAAGAGTAAGTGGGGGTGTTGAATTATGAAAAGTAATATATGAATGTTTATTTAATACTCTTATACTAATCACTTCCTGTATTCCCGTGATAAAAGGGACATGCGCAATAAAACGTGTCACTTCCGTTTGAAGCACAGCTGATGGTGTATGTGTGTATTTATTCCTCTGTCACGTTAACTATGTTCACGGTATTCCTGCCCTAAGATCATGGCATCGCTAACAATAATAATGAGTAGGACTGTAACTCTTTGAAAGTGTGAGTGGCTCTTAAAAGAGCCGTTGTGTTTGGGTGTTCTGGTCTCAGGTCAGTCTAAGCTCTCTCTCCGCGGATACGACGGGCCAGCTGGATGTCCTTTGGCATGATGGTGACCCTCTTGGCATGGATGGCGCACAGGTTGGTGTCCTCGAACAGGCCGACCAGGTAGGCCTCGCTGGACTCCTGCAGAGCCATGATAGCGGAGCTCTGGAAGCGCAGGTCGGTCTTGAAGTCCTGAGCGATTTCTCTCACCAGGCGCTGGAAGGGCAGCTTGCGGATGAGCAGCTCGGTGGACTTCTGGTAGCGGCGGATCTCCCTCAGAGCCACGGTACCGGGCCTGTAACGGTGAGGTTTCTTCACTCCGCCGGTGGCCGGGGCGCTCTTACGAGCAGCCTTGGTGGCCAGCTGCTTCCTGGGAGCCTTTCCTCCGGTGGATTTACGAGCTGTCTGCTTGGTTCTGGCCATTATGGTTTCTCAGTGTTCACAGTGAGAGAAGGAGTGCTGTGGTTCTGTGAGCAGCGCCTTTATAAAGGAGCTGCCGGAGCAGGGCAGCGCTGATTGGTGCATGCCGGGAGACACGTGCGCTGAGCAGCTGCTTTACTATTGGATAATGTAATCCACTCCTCCACAGGGGATGATCCTGGGGTTCCTCAAAATGAACTTTTGTTTAGTTTAGGGGGAAATAAATATGATTACATATAATATAACCCTAACCCTGTCATTTTCTAATGTATAACTATGATTTAATTTGTAGTGAAAAACTCGCCCTGAAATAAAGGAATCATTTAGTCAACAACACTAAACATTTGCCCAAAAGTTAAATATGAGAATTAACATCAGTTACAACCCAAAGGAATGAATTCATTAATAATGTAGTGAGCAGAAACAGTATTTAAATGGCACCAGCTTTTAGTGTGAGTGTAAGACGTCAAATGAATCATGATCTTCTGCAGTAAAATTAGATCACCTTATAAAAGTATTTGAGTTTATTAGTGTGAAAGATGTAGGTATATAGCCTACTTATCCATATGAAATGTATGTGCCCATATGAATGTTGTGTATATGTATTATGTATTTCACAAGCATTTGCAAAGCATTTTTCGTTTGTGTGTTTGACATTACTGATTGGTGAAATGATTCTCTTCTCTTATTAAACCCCATCACTTTGTATTACCGGTATCAATCATTCAAGGGAGGCTTTAAGTGTCAGAAGAAACACCATTTGGATTGTTGTTACAGCACATTAGAGTTTGTGGTGGCAGAGGGACAACATTTAATAATAAATGTGTTCATTTGTCTCCTCTAAAGATTTGCTAAGATAAAGATTACCACTTAGCATTTTCTCTCAGGATTGCAGTAAAATAACCACCATATTTCCTTCATATTGTGAAATGTATTTATTTTCATTTTGGAAAAACAAACACCAGTGAGGTGGTATAAACACGTATAGTGAAGAATGACAATATTCAATCATGGTTTATCTTGATTTACAAAGCATTCTGTATAAATAACATTTAAATATTTAGATTTCTGGTAGAGTAGTTATAGAGTATAACAGGATGAGCTCTTTGGATGGGTTGGGTGGCTCTTAAAAGAGCCTTTGTGTTGTTGGTATGTCAGCAGCAGAGTTTACTTGGAGCTGGTGTACTTGGTCACGGCCTTGGTGCCCTCAGACACGGCGTGTTTAGCCAGCTCTCCGGGCAGCAGCAGGCGGACAGCGGTCTGGATCTCCCTGGAGGTGATGGTGCGGCGCTTGTTGTAGTGAGCCAGACGAGAGGCCTCACCGGCGATGCGCTCAAAGATGTCGCTCACGAAGCAGTTCATGATGCCCATGGCCTTGGAGGAGATGCCGGTGTCGGGATGAACCTGCTTCATCACCTTGTAGACGTAGATGGCGTAGCTCTCCTTCCTGGACTTTCTCCTCTTCTTTCCAGTCTTGGTGGCGGTCTTAGCGACGGCTTTCTTGGAGCCCTTCTTGGCCGCTTTGACGGGGGGTGCATCAGCAGGCATGATGAGAGAGAGAGGTGCGACAGAGTCGAAATACTTCTTTGTCACAGCGCGGTCTATTTATATTCACCAGATGCAAATGTTACTGTGCTGTTACTCGCACGGGATTGGTTGTTTTATGAGCAGGACGGCGCATGCGCTTAACGAGTTTTAGAATCAAAACAGATTGGATGACATGTAAAATGAACACCCCATTGATTATGTATTTATATTATTGGGGTTTTATAATGTGTTGTACATGAATAAATCAACAAATTGGTTAGGATCAATGTCCTTTTAACTCTTTCATATGTTTTTAACTATGTATAGCGTGGACAACAGAGAAACACATATTTTTCATGACCGTTAGAATTTAAATAAAAAAGTGAGGTGAAAGTGATGCTTGTCACCCTCTAGTCCACACGTATTAATCCACATGAATCCCAATACGTATGATTTTAAGATCCTAAAATAAATACAAATGTATTCATTATAAGCGAGTTAGTCCTTAATATCCCGGTGTATTTCACCATTAAAACATATTTCAAAAGTTTAAGAAACCCCACACAGCTGGAAGTAGAAGTTTTTGGAGCAGTCATGGTTGTGTAGACTTTATCCTCTACGAACATATCATTGGATGTCGGATAAACAACATTGTGAAATGGTCTACATTTTTAATATCCAGTATCCTAGCAAGAATTTCGGATGGAATTTAGGTTCGATATAAAGTTCATCAAAAGGAATGTCTCTTTTTGAGTAATGTGGGTGGCTCTTAAAAGAGCCGATGTTGTTCCAAGTATGTCAGGGTGTAGATGTTTAACCTCCGAAGCCGTACAGAGTGCGGCCCTGCCTCTTCAGGGCATACACCACATCCATGGCGGTCACCGTCTTTCTCTTGGCGTGCTCGGTGTAGGTGACGGCATCACGGATCACATTCTCCAGGAAGACCTTCAGCACCCCGCGGGTCTCCTCGTAGATCAGACCGGAGATACGCTTCACTCCGCCGCGGCGAGCCAGACGGCGGATAGCGGGCTTGGTGATGCCCTGGATGTTATCACGGAGAACTTTACGGTGACGCTTGGCGCCTCCTTTGCCGAGTCCCTTTCCTCCTTTTCCTCTTCCACTCATTTTCAGGTATTGTTATGTCGGCTCGTTTAGAATGAATGAGTAGAAGCAGAGTCTTGGTCCTAAATAGTTCCTCAATTTGGTGAATGAAGTCAAAGACTTCTTGGGAGGGACGACAAAGAGCACCTGCCTTGAAGTCTTTCAAGTCCTCTAACAAGCTGTTGTCACCAGAAGGACTCTCATCATGGTGCTCTGTTGCAATTTTGCATTTTTCACAGATGCTGGCAAACTTGATGATTTTGTGGACGATGTAGCCTGCAAGATTGAAGAGAATACATTTCTCAGTTTTTGTGAGGTCAGGTGCTGCTGCTCTGTTCACCGCCATCAGCTGTTCCACTCTGACTGATGGAGTGATTTTTGGCTCCCCTGTGTCCAGGAAGTCTGCCAAAAGCTACTGTGGTCTTCCTGGTAGCTCCCAGAGCTGATGGTGGTGAGGAACTGCCCCACAGATATGATTCTCAGTGCATGATGGAATTCCACTGGAGTTGGGACAGGATTTTTAGACCTCACACAGCTGAATGTATTTTCAAGGCAGTCTTGTGTGAACCTTGACGTTAACACAAACCTGTGTCCTTGTGTAAGCATCTCCTCTTGTATGGCCAAAATTGATGTTGTTGCCATTATCACCCCTGTTTGAACAGGCTTCCAACCTCCCTTTTGACCTATCTTTATCCCACGAAACAGATGGACGATGTTCTGGAGGAAGGTGATGGCCTTTTGGTACTCCTCCATCTTGAGCCTGCTCAGGGCTGTAATTGGATGGCAAGATGACATCAGATCAAACCAACGATCAACCTGCTCCAGGAACCACGCTGTCGTCAGGTATGACAGAGGGCGGTTTTCTTGCTGCACCATGTATTTCAGCCCAGCACTTGTAGCCTTACTGAACACATTTAGAGCAAGACCAACCTTCATCTTATCAAAGTGACTTGGCTCGATGGCTGCAGCTGAAAGATGGGAGCTATTTAAGGCCATCCCTTCCTGAAAGGTCAATAAGTCCTTAATGGGGACCACAGAAACCTCGTTAGAGGGGAGGTTCTCTCTGTTAACAACATCCTCAGGAATTATGAAGACCTGCCCACGGACAAGGGCACTTTTTAAATGTTTTACCAGATGTGGGACATCGGGCATGAAATAGAGCTGCCTGTCTGGTTTTGCTGGATGTGGCACCGATGTTTTATTTTGGTCCACCCCAAAGGATTTCCACATGGCTCGGTTAGGGCTACCCATGTCGGTGGTGACATCAAGCACATGTAGCCCTATGGATGCTGCCCTCTGTATTATCTCAATAATGATTGGCCTGTACTCTGCTCCATTGATAGAATTGCCAGTGTAATGATATGCCACTACTTGCTTCCACCGTGTTGTGTTTCCAGCCAACATAAACACACAAGCATGTGTTGCCACCCCTGTGTGACCTGGTAAAGTCACATCACCGTACAGTTTGCCTGTAATCATGTCTAACTCCACACTTGGTGTGATTGCCATTTCATCCAAGGTCAACACACACTCCCTTTCAAGGTCTGTCAATTTATCTGCCTTCAATTTTAGGAAATCAAAGACCTCTGTCAACACACCAGGCTCAAACTTAACACATTGCATCCTTCTTTGCAGTGTCCTTATTCCTGGAAGAGGAATCTTCAATTCCTGCAGAGTTTTGTAACCCGTTGGTCCGCTCGCAAAGCGAATTTTTAAAGCCTTCTTAATTGTCTCATTGCTCCATTTCATCCCCTTTGTGGTGAGTCTGCCTAATGCCTTCAGTTGGTCTTTTGAAAACGTTTTCTTATATTTCTTGTCCCTAATTTTCATTGTTTTCTTGAGAGCTGCATTTTCCTTCCTGATTTTTCTTAGTGCAGCCTTTGCTTTTTTGGTGATTCCTTCTTGGCTCTTTAATTTTCTCTTTAATTGTTGTAATAGATCTGTTTGAATGGCTGCTGGTTCCCTCGTATGCTGACTGGCTGCTGGTTCCCTCATTTGCTGACTGGCTGCTGGTTCCCTCGTATGCTGACTGGCTGCTGGCTGAGTGGGTGGTGTCCGTCCTCCCTGTCTCTCCTCACCAGCCATGTCCTCTCTTTCTTCACCCTCACTTTCCTTTCTCTCAGTCTCCTCATCCCTTCTTCCCTCAATCTTTGAGACTAATGTAAGTAGAAGACATGGCACTGTAAATGTTCGAACATTTAAAATATTATACCACTTAAAAATAAGAAATATTACTTTTGTTACTAAGAGTTCATACTTATTATACCTGTGTCACCTTTCACACTATATCTGTGATCATGAGCTATGGGCTTTGTAGATACAGGTCCCGGGGTGAATCGTGGTGCAGGGGCCCTTCTCTTTTTGACCACAGGGCAATGCACGAAGATGGTGGGTATAGCCTCTGCTCTCAGCCTAGTCTTGCCCTTTTTTGTCTTGACAAACTGGTCTGCATCAAAATGTGCCTGCGGAGTGACTTGAGGTTACTTCACACACAGAACAACTGTGTCTGAATCTTGTCTGCCCACATACATATTCCATAGTGGTTGAATACACAGTATTAGGAAACACTTTATACTTACTGGACATGTTATACTCATTACATACTGTATATAAAATATGACCAAGAATGTGAGACAACTTTATAGAAATTCATATCACATATGTTACTGATGCCATTTGTCATACTTTATTAAATTCACAAATAATAAAGTTCCATAACTTCAGTTGGGAACAAAGACCACACCTTATCTCCCCAAGGCAATTTCCCATCCAATAGGTGTGCTATATAGGTGTGTATAACCCTTTCTCCTGTCTTTTTATCCCTCTTTCAGCACAAGAACCAGAGGGGGATTCAATGGAGCCTGAATACCTGCACTGAGACCCTCACCCTGCACCCTGAGTCTCAACTCTGTGTTTTTCAAGCCTTTCCCTGTTTTTTTGTATTAAACAAAACATTAAGCTTTCCCAATGGTGTGGTTTTCGTTTTGTGAAAAAGTGCAAATGCAGTGTTTGTATATAATTACCTCACATATTTGTTTGCTGTTGGTTGTGAAATTGCTCCTGCTGACTTGAGCCAGCCATTTTTTCCTCCGCTCTGTGTCAGTGGGGAAACCGTACATTCGTACTCCTTTCTCGGAGCGATTTGAGCATCCCCAGGCAGCACAGCAAACCATGGTGGCGACTGGGAGGCAGCACAGCAAACCATGGTGGCGACTGGGAGGCAGCACAGCAAACCATGGTGGCGACTAGGAGGCAGCACAGCAAACCAGGACAACACGGAGGAAAAGGCACAGACAAACTGCATGATATGCTATTCAATGTTTATTGAATTCCATGTATTTGCAATGGATGTTCCTAAAACAACACATTTAACATCATCATCATGCTGCTGCTGCTAGTCCTTTGATAGTCACCTGTCGGTCTCCTGTCCTTTCTGAAAGCCATAAAGATGACATTAGTCATTTAGATAACTTGTGTCCTCAATTACCATGGGATTACTGAAACTACCATGAATTTAAGAAAATGGTAGACATTAATCTAATCTGAATTTTAAAGCATTACTTTAGATCCCCTCCCTCTAAATATATCAATAAACATTAGAAAGTGATGCTCCTGACTACCATACAAGTTTAAGAAGATAATATTGGTTTTAAAGAATTCAAAGCTATAAACAAACAGCAACAGGCTCTTTAACCAAGGCACTGTTAGCCTACCATGTAAACTAGTTGTTCACACTAATCCTAATATTATCACTTAATATTAGCAAATTCTATTTTATTTTTTAAAACATATTGATGTAAATACATACACATATCGATTTGTTGTATAAATATTGCAAATCAAAACCTTTATTCACTAATAATTACCAAAAATCGTAGTTCTATCTCCTGTTATCAGTGCATTCACATTGCCCGCCATGAACTTCCGGGGAACGATCCTCGTCTACATGA